ATGTGTTCCTTTTTGTGATCAAAACAAGTCCATCTCCTTCCTGGGATCATCTGGCAGAACACTGATGGAATCCTCTCCTGAGCCACACAGCAGACATGTCATCTGATACTCCTGTAGTGTGGAACATGGAATATGACACTGTCATCTGATACTCTGTAGTGTGGAACATGGAATATGACACTGTCATCTGATACTCCTGTAGTGTGGAACATGGAATATGACACTGTCATCATTAATTATACATATTATATTAAATAAATTGTGAAAAGTGGCCTTTTGTGTCAGACTAAGGACAGCCATGTGACATCTTTAGACTGAATTCCTGTATCGTTTGGCAGTTCAAAGAAAGCATCACACATTCTGTACCCATCTCCTATTGTGTGAACAGAGCACCACCAACAGACACAGGCCAGGGTTTCACATGCCTGATCAGCAACATGTCCCAGCAGTTGTGCTTGATTGAGTTGGCAGCATGCACAGGTTTGGTAACCTGGCTTCATGCTGAGGCCTTACCTGATAGCCTTCCTCCACACAGAATCTGTACTCGTGTTCTGCTATCACATGGTCACAGTTCTGGCACAAATCTATACAAAACAAACACATGGTCACAGTTCTGGCACAAATCTATACAAAACAAACACATGGTCACAGTTCTGGCACAAATCTATACAAAACAAACAAACAAACAAACACATGGTCACAGTTCTGGCACACGTCTACACAAAATAAACAAACAAATATGATCACGCACAAACATGTTAACGTGGAAGGTCAATGCTCTACAGACCGTGTGATTTTATGATACTATAGCAAGGCTAGGATACAAGTGTTCTTATTTACTCCACCAATTCTCACCTAAGTGTGCTTACCTTCAGACACCTTCCTCAGAGCTTCTGACTGGAGTTCTGCTTCTCGCCGCTATATCAGTATATGTTAGTGATGAGGAAGGTGTCTGATAGACATCAAAACATCAGCACATTTAGGTGAGAATTGGTTACATGTATCCTATACTCAACAAACCTGATGAAACTATTTTCGGAAATATAGCAAGGCTAAATTACAACGACTTATAACTTATCCAATGGTCAACTATGACTTATACTTGTAGCTTATCCAATGGTCAACTTTAATACCACTATCATTGCAAATTAACAGTCTAGGGAAGGCAAATTAACTATTGCAGTACTGAACGTGCGTTACGTTGGTATGTGATGACTTGTTCTTGCTCCTCCTCCCTCTCTTCTTTGTTGTGGATTTTGATCAACTCTTTCTTGTTACACTGTGCACAGGACGCAAAGTTCATCAGGTAGGACCCACTCTCCAGGCACGTGTGGCCCTGGAAAACAGCAGCAAGTTACTAGACATAATTCATGTTGTAAAAATTATATCAAGGGTCTCAAATCCAAACCGCTTCCTACTCAGCCCTGGTAACATCCCGGCCGTCTGCTAGCCTCTACCAGGCACCGCGGATAGCTATTATTAAGTATATTGTCACTGGCCATACATAATTGTCCGATAGTATAAACCAGGGGAGTTAGCCGGCAAGAGAAGATCCAATTTGCGACCCGTGGATCTTCTCTGGCCGGCTAACTCCCTTGGTCATAATACCATCCCTTTATTTCAGCCATTTTTTTCAGCGATCCACGGTGCCTGGTAGAGAGCCGTAAATGGCAGCAGGAAGCAGGATTTCTCTCCCATAGTGTGAGACCTGACCAGTAAAGTTAGTACACAAACACTGACAGACAGGGAGGGCGGGGGTTAACCCACACCTGTAGACACAGAGGCAAATGATGTCCTATACCCTGTCCGGAAAGACGTTGTTGACGCAGTTCTGACACATGTCGGATTTCTTGTATCCTCAAGCCTCACAGTCTGCCGGGAAAATGGCCGCTAGATCGCCTGCCCTGACGGAAGTCTGTAAGGATGGTTTTTATTGGTTAGGTTTTGTCCCGGGACGTCCAAACTACAAATCACGAGCGCTGTTTCAGGAAGCGACGTGGAGATGACACAAGCGCCAAATTTGAAAGGATATCGGGTTTGTTTGGGCAGTGCTGCATGTCTCCTTGGTTAAAAAAATTACCCAACATTATATTATAAAACCGAGACCTTGGCAAGCCCATACATCATTAATGTTAGGTAACAATTACCTTCGAATAATAAACGAGAAACGATGGAACGTTTATAGTCTCTCTACGCTTCGTGACCTTATAACTTAAAATATAAATAATAAGGGACCCCTAACGGATTGTTCTCTATCTCTGTTGTTAAAAACGTCCGACATACTGTAATTGTTGTGTCAGGATCCAACGGCAAAGCTGATAG